AACTTTACCGCTTGATACATCCTCTCAGGTTAAAATGTCCTCATCGCGGCACCTTAATCTAAAGTAATTACTCACATTGAAGTAAGGATTGATAGGAAAACTCTTTTTACAGTTAAATAGATAGGCTTTTTCCTCCTCATCCTTCTCATCATCATCATCATCATCATCATCATCATCATCATCATCATCATCATCATCATCATCATCATCATCATCATCCCATCAGCATCCACAACAAGACCCAAACCCCTGTCATGTTTGTAAAGTGACGATACGTTAACACTTCACTAGACAGCCACGGGTGCCAGTCAATCGGTAGGCAAATGCGACCTTCAAGGCAAGTCAGACCTGTCTCAAACCATATTTAAGTGGGATTTTTGAATTGCCAAACGTATACTTTCCAGTACAATTTCCCACACTACTTATATGAGCTGGGAATAGGCATCTATACAATTTTGAATAGAGACTTTACGGGTTTTTTCAAGTAAGCCCAAGGAATTCATGAAATAACTGTTTTAACCAAATGATTTTAATTTACGTGCACAATGGTTCAACGTTGGTTTGGTGACTTTGGCTAGAGAAAAGATCACAAAAGAATCAGCTGCCGCCGGATAGATGGTCTTCTTGACTTGGTGGTGGATTGAAACGTGTGTAATTAGCAGATCCATCTGCAGCTGAATGACAAAGACTAACCTTATTTTAACTGGACTGAGAAGCATACCATCTGGAATGGGGCATAGGAACAGGAAAAGACGGCAGCTCAACGATAATCCGCAATCGTCTTTTGGTGAACTTGATTCACCTTAGTTTTGTCTCATTGAATTATTTGAAACTCAATTTATTTGTAGTTTTTTGGTCAGGAAAACATCGGAGGGCGTACTCCTCGCTGCCTTGTTAGTCAGTTTTGCCGTACCTCCTACCACCATCAGCCCGTGGAATAGGCAGATTCTCACACCCAACTCTCCAGCCCATACCAATTTGGTCTTCACGTCTTTCCTACAGTTGGGTTTAGAAGTGTGTTCACATGGGGCTTCGGTGATATGACGATTTGCAAGTTGTCTAAATTATCATCTCCACCCAGGACGGATTTGAGGCGAAAGCTGACAGCACATGTCACCCACATGTGACACGTAGAAAGCAGAATGTATGTGAATTACGCCAAAACCACATGATGCTATACCCACCGAATGAATAGCAACCTTTTAAATTCAGCTGCTTCCTACCGCCCCCACCCAAGAGGAGATGGGCATTAGCAAGTCTTCATTCTCACCCGTTACTGTCCAAAATCCAAGACTGCCTCAGCCTCCCGGCAGCTCGCTTCTGAAGCATCAGCTGCCAGTCGCCCTGAGAGCCGAAACGCTTCTCTTGTCGACCGGCCTTGCGATGCGCCGTGAGCACCAGACTCGGCTCGGCCAGGCAGTAGATAAAGCCAGTTTCGGGCTCGTGGGCAAACTGCTGTAAGTTGGCCGGCTGAAATCGAGGAGAAACGGCAGCTCTGTCGGGCGACGGACTGTGCCAGGTGGGAAGGTGTGGTATGAAAGTGTGAAGGTGTGAAGGTGTGAAGGTGCGAAGGTGCAAAGGTGCAAAGGTGTG